CCATGGTAATTCCAATAGATTGTTGAAAGACCTGTTTTCCAAAAACCACATAGATATTGTCAATCAGAAACTCAAGCATCTTTTTAATATCAACTTCAGAGTACTTGTGTGTACAATCAGATTGTTTTTTAACAAAGTAATTTCGCAAATGACAAATGACAAGGTAAGTAAATTTATGAGTTCCATTTTTATTAAAAAAGCAGCTGTCAACGATGTCAGAAAGTCTGGACTTTAATTTATCGTGGGGAATAGTTGTATATGAAGTTGAAAAGTCGTAATTAAGTTTTTATGTTGTTGACTTTAGTAAAATTTTGTGATTTCAAATGTTCCAAAAGTTCCTTGGATTTTTTTTAGTATCCACATCTAATTTACATCTGCTGGACACGTCATTACTGGTGATGTAAACATAGTTAATAATGAGGACCTTAAATACCTTATTTTAAACGGGGCCAAAATTTAGGGAACCCCGTTCTTTCAACTGGCGTCATAATTCAATAAATATTATGAATTCTGTGGATGATTACGCCAGAAGATGGGCCAAACAAAGACCTTGATACTTTGTCAGAATGGATTAAGAGCATTAGATGGATATTGATATCTCGCATTAAGCGATTGAGGGGCTGTATGAAAACTATTTATCCTTTTGTCTTTTATAACTCAGAAGTGAAAAAGGAAAAGATAGATTACACGATCAGTAAGCACTGGTCCCAGCTGACAAAGCTGGTAACAACATAGTCTTTGTTAGGCTCATTAGTTGAATTGTTTTTTTTAGAGGAAAAAGGATTTAATTCTAAGGGAGGATATCCAACTTACACCCATACCTCCCTTTCTTCGGAAGAAATTCTTCAAAATCATGTCCGTTTTAGATAATTTTAAAATTCCCAACAATCAAAATGAATATGAATTACCATACCTTTACTGGATTCCTAAACTTCATAAAAATCCTTACAAACAAAGATACATAGCGGGTTCCAGTAAACGTTCTACCAAGCCTCTTTCTTTACTCCTCATTAAAATATTTACTGTAATGAAGGAGAAACTTCAGGAGTACTGTTCAACAGTATATTCGAGAAGTGGTGTAAATCAGATGTGGATACTTAAAAACTCCAAAGAACATTTGGGAAATTTGAAATCACAGAATTTTGCTAAAATCAATAGCATCAAAACTTACTACTTTTAAACACTATATATAACCATTCTCCATGAAAAATTGAAGTCCAGGCTTTTTGACATCATAGACAGTTGCTTTTTCAATAAAAATGGAACTCGTAAATATACTTACCTTGTCATTGGTCATTTACAAAATAATTTTGTTAAAAAGCACTCTGATTGTACACACAAGTACTCTGAAGATGATATTAAAAAAATGCTTGAGTTTCTGGTTGACAATATGTATGCAGTTTTTGGAGATCAGGTCTTCCAACAATCTGTTGGGATGCCCATGGGTACCAATTGGACCTTCTTATTAGCAGACCTATTTTTGTATTCATATGAGGCAGAATTTAATCAAGAACTTGTACATGAGAAGAAGAAAAGACTTGTTGTGGCCTTCAATTCGACATTTAGATATATCGATGACGTATTATTAATTACCAATAGTAACTTTCATTCATATGTCGACTCGATATATCCCAATGAGCTTGAAATAAAAGATACCACATATTCTGACACATCTGTTTCATATTTAGATATTTTACTAGAAAAAGACGTTAATGGTAACCTAACAACAAAGCTTTATGACAAACGTGATGACTTCAACTTTTCAATCGTCAACTTCCCTTACTTACGTAGTAATATACCCTTATTACCTGCATATGGGGTTTATGTCTCTCAGTTGATTCGATATGCCCGAGCATGCTCTACGTAGGAAGAATTTCTAAAACAAAACGAGGCAACCTATTGACAAACAAGTTGACGAAACAAGGATCTCAACGTTCTCATTTGAAGTCATCTTTTTGCAAGACTTTCGGTCGATACAAAGACCTTGTCAGCACATACAACCTATCATGAAGTCAAATGCTGGCTGACGTTCTTCAAACGAATTGTTAGGCCATTATTTATACACTTAACTGTCTACGGATTTTTCCGTTTTTTGTTTCCCATTCATGACAAGGAGCACACGGCGGGTGTGACCGGTCGGCAGAGGATTCTCACTCCTCCATGACACCTGATCCCACCTCTAAATTTTGAGGTCCGTGTTTGCTCTGCTCCAAATTTGAATCTTTCATTGGACTTTCGAGATTGAATACTGTTCGTTATCTTCATATTTCATTACACCACTTTTCAAATATATTGTTGCACAATACTCTTGTAATTTCTCCTTCACTACTGTTAATATCTTAGTGAGGAGGAAAGAAAGAGGCTTGGTAGAACATTTACTGGAACCCGTAATGTATTTTTGTTTGTAAGGGTTTTTATGGGGTTTCGGAATCCAATATTAATATGGTAATCTATAAATATTCAAATTTATATTTAAATAAAAACATTCAGTTTTAGGTGTACGAAGGCGGCACAGTTACCCCCCCCCCCCCCCAAAAAAAAAAATAGTTAGAAATTGATATGTGATATTAAAAAGAATTTCTGAAATACAAATAGAAAATTGAATATTATATTGTTAACTATTTTTCCTCACATTTTCATGGATATGTTTTAATCAATATGACTTTTATCACATTTTTATGCACCAGTTTGACAATGTGTACACACTGGTCACGTGCTACCCACATTAACCTGTGAAACATCGCGCTTTGAATGTAGGGAAAGGAACTACTTTGATATTTCTGAACTGCGGGAAAAACATTCTATAAATAGCGGTCGTTGTTATTTGATAAGCTAGTTGTACCTTGGCTTGTTCACAGTGTAATATGTATCAACTCCTCACCGATTACCATTTGCGAGATATGTTTCTTTTTACAATTAAATAAGTTTTTATCACTATAAATCCTTTCATGTAAAAGGATTGTGAATCCTTGATCCTCCTCTGCATCCATGGCAACGCAACATATGTTTGTATTATGACTTCACGCAACTCAATTTGATGATGAAAAATCTACAAATATTTTAAATAACCACAAACAACACTAAATATACACTTTGAAATAGTTGAAAGTAAGTCAGTCTTTGTCTAGTCTTACAATATATGAAATCCAGCGGCGCTTTTTAACTCCCGACAGTTCACTGCCGCGTATGAATAAAAATCAAAATTTTGATGTAATTTGTCCCTTAGGATAGGGGTCAGTGTTAGCTTGATAACTCGCCCTTTATGTACAAAATGCCAGTTTGAAATCTGACTCGTTGAAAAATGGGGGCTGCGTTGACACAGGCGGCGCACTAGGCTGTGATCAAATGTTCTGATCTTAAATTCATTTCTCAAATGTTTGAAATGTCAAATGTTTGGTACATATTGCAATGTTTTCTTGTCTTTGGTATATGAAAATGACTGAAACGGGAAAAATGACCCTGTGTAATTCCATCAGAGAAAACAGCCGGAAAACCCGTAGAAACCTAGGTTTTTGAAATTATTTTACATATGTACATGCACAAACTTTGTTCATATAATTTAATGTTTAATAATATTTTAATAATTAAGATATTTCACATTTGTATCCATAACCTTTGTGATGAATTAAAGAAATTGTTTGTGGTAAGTAGTATATCACAATTGACATATATTGTCTTTTTGACGTTGGGAATTGCTCCGGGTGTTAAGGAACAATGACACTTCAATTTTTTTAAATTGATTTGTTGTCGCCGGTGTAAGGTTGAATTTTGACCTGGGTTGAAAATTGACCCGGGTGGTCATTTTTCAACGTTGAATATTGAGACCAAAGGTGTTGAATTTAGTCCCTAGTCCGTTGAAAAGTGAGCCGGGTCGTGGAATTTTGATCATGAAACCGGTTCTAAATTCAACAGCATAAAACACATATAAATTTTATGAATTGATATTCACAACTGTGATTTATTCAATTAAATCTACACACTTAATTCAGTTTTATTCTGTAGAATAAAATATTTACATAAATATCTTCAATTTTAAATTTAGCGTAAAATCGCAATATTTCATGTAATATTTATTTAAAAAGAAATATAACTAAATCTAGAATATTAATATATTTAGTTACACAATATACAATTTAGTTCAGAAATATGTTTATTTATATTTTCTATAGGCTAACAACACTGCATTTATTTTAATACTTTTAAAATTCGTAATATGAGTACTTGGGATATTGTGGAACTTTACGCATGATGCACGTACATTTTTATGCATATTCAGTCTTGACAATATTAATGTCCATCTTGAAAATCGGATGTTCTTTAAATAAAAGCTTAGTGATCTTTTTTCGCCTACTTAATCACACAGTTCAACAAGGGACCCCACAATACCTACTTATTTTGTGAAGTAGAGGATCGAAAGGGGGATAAGTACCATCAAAGGTAACACAGGTCCCTTGTAAATTTGTAAGATCTTGCATATATATGAAGCATTTTTTTTTGTATTTGTGACTGTATTGTTTTGTTCATATATTGTATAGTTTTACTTCGTTTTGGATTTGTAGGGGGGGGGGATGGTAATCAAAAAAATGTCTGGCGTAGACACACAAAACCTGACTTTCAGCTTATTTAATTTTTTTAACAAAGTAGCCAAAGATATAACATTACATTCCCCCTCCCTCCAACAACCACCGGGGAAACACAGGATTATATGTGAGGAGTTTCTGAAGCGGCCCTTCCATCTTCAAGAAACATGGTTTGGTTTTCAACATTGGTTCGTTTCCCCTTTTTGTTTGCTTGGTTGTTTGTTAGTTTCATTTATTTATTTTGTTTATGGTTTTTTGTCACAATAATTCAGAGGGTTTTGACACCACAATCCCACCTCTGAGAAAAACTCCAGGATCTCTCTCTCTCTCTCTCATCGGTTTCTTTGAAGAGAAATGCGCTTTTTAGTTGTTTAGATCAAAGTTGCATTAACTGAGTTATTTTAATTGTTCATATCAAAGATGGTGAGAAGTGTAGCTTCTAGTCCATCCCAGACTCTAGCTCTAGTTCTGCAGGGAGATCAAAGAAGGACAGTTCTTGACTGCTGCATAAAACCCAATCTGTCACTTAGCTCGAAGCAATTAAAGATGGAAAGTAGACGCATCTTACAGATAAAAAAATACTTAACCAAAGGAATTTATCAAAAAGTAGTGAAAAAGTCGGAGACAAGAAAAAGAAATTTCAGAAGAGATTGCAAGGAGTTCCTAGTGAAAGACGGTATCCTTTTCCATAGAGTTAAAGACAAAGACCTCAGACTTGTGTCCGAAAATGAAAAGACGGACATTCATGCTCAAGTACATGGAGGTCACCTTGGAATCAACAAGACGTAAGCATTTAGCAAAACCAAAATCGCCCTTGAAGAATGCTCTAAGCTAAAAGACCTTTTTCTACACACACCACAGGTATTGGTTGGGACGGAACCCCTCCCCCCATTTCCATTTTTTTTTCTTTTAAAAACTTGGATCGACACACCTTTTTCCTATTTTTATATTCTAATATGCATTACATGTTATTGATAATGTACCCTTTTATCTCTTTAAGCTGTTTTTAAATATATCGTTTTCGACTGAAACATAACAAGAGGCCCATGGGCCAGATCGCTCACCTGAGCACTTTGGCTAGGAAATAGCAGAAATCAGTTCAGTATTGAAAAGTTTAGATATAAAAGTGATTCAGACGGGGTGTTATGATTTAAAAAAAAAAAAAAACTTGAATCTACACTACCTAAGGATGTTTTGGAATTAATATGACTCATAATGACTAAGCTGTTCTTAGAAGATTTTCATTTTGATATATCCTTTATATTCTTTTGTATAACTCTGATTTCCTGTTATGGCCCCTCTATACGCCTATAGGGTTCATTAATTGAACAAATTTGAATCTATATTACATGATGATGCTTTTATATTATTATAATCAATCATGGCTTTGCTGTTCTTTAGAAGAATTTCAAAGACTTTTCTTATGTATTCCTATGTAAAACTTTGATCGCCCACTGTGGCCCCACGTACCCCTGGGGGTCATGATTTGAACAAACTTGAATCTACACTACCTCACGATGATTCCGTGTAAGTTTCATATTTTCTAGCACAGTGGTTCTTGAGAAAAAGATTTTTAAATGATACCATTAATATTTCAAAAATTCGTAATTATCTCTCTTTGGAAGAAGGCATGGTCCTTCCTTTGAACAAACTTGAATCCTCTTTACCCAAGACAACTTTGTGGCAAATTTGGTTGAAATTGGTCCAGTGGTTCTTGAGAAGAAGATGAAAATGTGAAAAGTTTACAACGACGACGACGACAGACAACGGACAAATTTCGATCAGAAAAGCTCATGTAAGCCTTCGGCTCAGGTGATCTAAAAATCAGTCGAAAACGATTTCTTTAAAAACAGCTAAAAAAGACAAAATGGTTTCATTATCGATAACATATAGTGCATATTAGAATACAGAATTAGGGAAAAGGTGTGTCGATCCCAGATTTTAGGAGGAAAAAAATGGCAAGGAGGGATCCATTCCCCAAGTGCCTGTGATACTCACAGTAAAACTTTTGCGTTTAGCTGAGTGGGGCCCGAACGTAATGCATAATTTATGTATTGTTATGTTGGTGGGCTAGATTAAAAAAAATATTACAAAGGATTATGTTGAAAATAATATGAAATAAAGTATTTTTTCAATCTTAGGTGGCAGAAGCTCCGTTCTCGATACTACTGGGCAGGGTCATTTAATGATGTGAAGAAATATGTCATGAAATGCGACACCTGCCAGCGAAAAGAGCATCTGAAGAAAGCAAAGAAACCCTTGCGCCCCATAGCAGTATCCGACAAAGCTTTCTCACAGATTGGTATGGATTTGATCGGGTCATTGGAAGAAACAAAGACAGGTAGTATGAATTTCTTTTCCAGATTTATTGTTCAGAATAAAAGAGAAAAATACATCCTGTATCCCTATATCAGCCCTAGACACCAATATCGGCCAGAGGACCGAGGGCTGATATTGGTCAAGGGATGATATAGGATATGATATAGAAAAGGGTATGTTTTATTAAGCTTGATACATACTAAGTAACAAAATACAGCAATCATCTATTTGAGCAAATAAAAATAAATACTCAAGCTGAGGTACCCTATATTGTTATGCTAAATGGATCGGTGTATGATTAGTTCAGTTTGTATCATTGGAAGTTTTTAAGAACTCTAGTACTAGTAATAAGTTCACGAGCAACTTATGATAAGAGCAAATTGAAAGAAAAATATTTAAAGGCAATTTTCATAATGGACAGCAGAAGATTTTTGCACGTTAATGAGTATTATCATATCAAACACATTCCAGAACATAAAAAATTTTAACAGGTTCAACAGTTACAAACTTCTGTTCACATTTTCCTCTGGAAATAGTGTAATACATGTATTCACCATGTACCGTCAAGCACTAAATTTGATGAATGTTTTAATGTACTTCATTTTTCCTTCAGGAAATCGTTATATAGTAGTTTCTAATTGACTACCTGAAGAAATGGGTTGAAGCAGAAGGTATTCCTGAAAAAAGTACGGTATCAGTAATAAGCGTTTTCATCAAATTTGTCTGCAACCATGGCGTACCAGATATAGTTATTACCGACCAAGGCAGAGAGTTTTATAACGAAATAAATGATTGCTTCTGTGGAGTTGCAACAGCTTACCACCCACAAACTTGTGGTCAAACAGAGAGGTTCAACAGAACTCTTTGCACTATTCTATCCTACGTCGTTAATTCAAAAAGTAATGACTGGGATGAACACATTCCAATGGTAATTTTTGCAAACAGAACAGCTAAACATGCGTCCACGCAAATGGATCCGTTATCTGTCGTTCATGGACGACAGGCAATATTGCCTGTAGAACTTGATCTTCCCGTCACTGATAGTTCTAGTACGCAGGTAGAAGACGAAGACCTTGCAATAAAACGACGTGCTGAAGCGTTCCTGACTGTAAGAGAGGCAAGAAAAAGGGCCAAAAGAAGAATATATGAAGCACAGAAAAAACAAAAGAGGTACCATGACAAGAGTGTTTCTAACGAAAGATTTAAGAAAGGAGAAAGATTTTTTTTTTCACTATACAAGAAAAATCAGCAGAAAATGTGAAAAACTGGAAAAGAAGTGGCTAGGACCATACCAGATAACTAATGTGAAAGTACAGAAGAACGGCGTATGTGTTTACGCCTTAAAAGGCTTGAAAAGAGCAACGGAGGCAGATTGAAAAAATATAGATCCCCTGATTCAAAAAGTAAGGAAGAGGAGTCTTTAAGTGACACTGATGACACCATCCTTTATTACAAAGACGAAGAAACTCAAGACCACTTTAAAGAAGATGAGCAACCAAACCAAGATTGTTCTAATAATGTATCTGACAAGGAGAAAAACCTAGCAATGCAAGACAGTTTCAATGTTTTAAAAGATGATTGAGAATTCTCAAGGAGCTTTAAAGATGAGATAGGTGAGATAAATGGTGAAGAGGATACATTAACATGCACAATAGAAGAACCTAATTATTCAAAAAAATTATTTGTGTGGATAGCAAATGGCAGATGAAACATGTATATTGAACAGTCAGAAATGGGAAAAGTTGGCACTTGGGGAACAGAAGTAGGAATATTTGCCTTCGCAACAATGATGGACACTTGTGTATATGTATATTGCCAACAGGACACTAGCCAAAATTTGCCAAAAATGGGATGGTCTTGTTATTCTCCTATTGAAAAAGCATCTAACTCAGAGTGTAATGTTTATCTAAAGAAGGTACATGCTCATTTTGAACCGGTGTTTGGAGTGGAATGTAGAGAGGATGATGCAATTTTCTGTAAACAACCCTATTTCGCCATCAAAAACTACCTGCCCGAAAAAAATATCATATTTCACCCAAGACCTGTTGGATGCATCTCTTGTAGATAACCATAGAGATGAAACAATTTTGCAAAACACAGGATCTTACAAAACCATATTCGTCAAACCTTATACAAGCAAAGCATATGATATCCCCGAAATGAGTGCTATTGCTTCGGAGATTGATGCAAATATTTTCAACATCTTGTGTGACCATGGCGATTTTGAATTCAAAACCGTTTCTATTTCAAAGTATAATTGAGAAGTAAATATTAAGAATGATGCCTCAATAGATCGATTTATTTCATGTGCAGTATTTTACCAATATCAATATTTTTTTTTTTTATTTTAAAATGTTTATTTGTATTTTTAGGTCACCTGAGTCACTCAGGTGACCTATTGCTATCTCTTTTCGTCCGTCGTCGTGCGTCGTGCGTTGTCCGTCGTTCGTCGGTCGTAAACTTTTGAACATTTTCAGCTTCTTCTCTGGAACCAGCGAACCAATTTCAACCAATTTTGGCATATAGCATCTATGGGTGAAAGGGAACAAAGTTTTTGAAATTCGTGGCCCCTGCCCCCCTGGGGCCTTGACGGGTGAGGCCAAAACCATCAAAATTAATGCAATCTTTAAAAATCTTCTTCTTTACTCCTGGACATCAAGCAGTCAAAATGTTGGCATGATTGTAATAAGCATTGAGTCCTCCACCAAAATTGTTAAATTCATGGCCCCAGGGTCAGGGGTTCTGGTGCTAGGGCGGGGCTATATAGAACATATAGTGAAAGTGCATTATTTCTTTGAAAATCTTCTTCTCTACTACTGGGTATTATTGAAACAAATTGAATACATAGTTATGATAATCAAGGATGACTCTACCAAAATTGTGAAATTCATGGCCCCAGGGTCAGGGGTTCTGGTGCTAGGGCGGGGCTATATAGATCATATAGTGAAAGTGCATTATTTCTTTGAAAATCTTCTTCTCTTCTCCTGGGTATTATTGAAACAAATTGAATACATAGTTATGATAATCAAGGATGACTCTACCAAAATTTTGAAATTCATGACCAAAGGGTCAGCGGTTCTGGTGCTAGGGCGGGGCTATATAGATCATATAGTGAAAGTGCATTATTTCTTTGAAAATCTTCTTCTCTACTCCTGGGTATTATTTAAACAAATACATAGTTATGATAAGCAAGGATGCCTCTTCCAAAATTGTGAATTTCATGATCCCTGGATCAGAGGTGCTGATGTTAGGGCGGGGCTCTATTTATTATAAAGTGAAAATGCATTAATGCTTTAAAAATCTTCTCTGCACCTGGGCATATCAGAGGCAAAAAGAGTAAAAATTTTAAAAAAGAAGGGTATTTTTGCCAGATTTTTGAACATCAGGACCATTTGGTCAAATGTTCTGGTCCAGGCCAGGGCTCTATTAATTTGTATTCTACTGAGAGGAGTTATTCCCCTTTGCCATTTACTTGTGATAATTAATCACTGTAAATAATGTACTTGAAAGGTTAATAAAATAAGAGAATTATGCAAGAATTTTTATTGTATAATACAAAAAGTACTTTCATAGTTTTAATGATCAGGTAGACTTGTAAATAACAGCTAAATAAAAATGAGACAAAAATAACTTGTCTTATTAAATGTTCATCAAAGACCAAGAGAGGCCAATGTAAGAGATTTCAACAAGGAATTAAAAGAGTACAGAAGCACTGATAGTTTGTTTACATACTGTCTGGTGAGAGTGATAAATGGGGAACAGATTAGAACCTAATTTACGAACTGTTAATGAATACTAGATTAATAATATTGTTGATCCTGATCACCCTATTTTTCTTGCTTTTGGGCAACAAAGCTTCACCTTTCAGTTCATTTTATATTCTATGGATCCTCTAAATTGTTGTATTATACTCAGGTAACCGTTAAGACCCTTGGGCCTCTTGTTATTGTTTTATTTCAACAAAATTTTAAGACGTTCGACGACTGCGAAAACAAAAAAAAAAGATTTTTTTTTATTTTTAAGTACTTTAGATCTATGAAAACTGATCTTTTTCTAAAAAGTGAAATTACAAGGAAGAAATTATTAAATATATTTCTTTTACCATAGTCTATTAGTAAAATACTGGATCCATATATTTACACCAAAAGTTTGTTAGGCAAGAAAAAAAGGCTTTGAAATGTGTAGGTACATGTAAATCAAGGCTGAGTATTTTATGCGGCTTCGGTAAGAACTCTGATGTATACAAGATTTATTATGCAAGTTGATTAGAATATTAGTACCAAATAGATATAGGAAAACAGCAAATCTAGTTATTTTGTTGTATAAATTTGCTGTCCTGTTGCCAAATATATATATATATATATATATATATATATATATATATATATATATATATATATATATATATATATATATATATATATATATATATATATATATATATAGTGCATAATTGCAACTATGCCATAACGGGGGCAAAGCTTTGCAACCACTTATCTGTTAATAATGTCTAGTCAACTCTTTTTGCTGACTTGATGTCATTGTTCTACATCTACATGGAAACCTGTCTAAGCTACGTTTTTGCCATTAAGTTGACAAAACATCTTTACTAGTCTACAATAGGATTTTGCACATTATCTTCAGACAAATCGCCATCAATTTCTAACAAGTCATCATAATTACTGTAGTGGACATAATATTTGAGAAGTCGAGATCAGTAACTGTTAATTCGTCATTTGCTGGCAAGTCCATATAGCATCTTATTAAGTTGAAGAAATTAAATGATAACTGATGTCGCCTAGTCAGAAGACAACTGGTCATTAATTATTTGGTCAGGTAAATATGTTGAATTGTTAGAAAATTTTGTCGATTTCCCATAAAAATATGTTGACCCGTATTTGTTGGACAGGTATATCGATTTGTCAGATATTATGAAGACAAGTTTATATAAGTTAAGGGACAACCATTTTATTCCAAGGCGGGGAAGAGTGGGGCGGATTTTTTTTTTTAAATATTCCACTCTAGTGCGCTACAGCATATTCTATAGGTGTTGTAAATTAGGTGTGGATTCTAAAAAATCTTAAAGAAGTTTTAGAAAATTTGAAATCGACAATTTTTTTCAAAAGTCAGTAAAATCAAAACGGACGACTTTTGTACACTCTTTACAAGCATTTCTTACGACAAATTTAAAACTCTACATTTTATCATGGGCGACTGCATCCTCAATAAAAATGGAAGTCAGAAATTTTCGTATCTTTTAATAGGTCATCAACAAAATCACCTTGTTAAAAATCACCCTGATTCTACCTTAAAGTATCCTGAGGCTGATGTTAAAAGGAAGCTGGAGTTCCTAATTGACATCGTTTTTGTAATCTTCGGAGACCGGGTCTTCCAACAAAATTTTGGAATTTCGATGGGCACTAATTGTGCTCCTTTATTAGCCGGCCTGTTTTTAAATTTCTATGAAGAAGAATTTATCTAGAAAAATTTACATGAGAAGAAGAAAAGACTTGCTTTGGCCTTCAATTCGTCATTTTGATACATCGATGACGTATGATCAAGAAACAATAGTTACTTTAGTTTATATGTCGAATCGATATATCCCATTGAATTTAAAATTAAAGACACCACTGAAAGTACCACAACTCTTTCATATTTTGAAGTCTTACTGACTATGGACGCTGAAGGCCAACTGACAACTTTATTGTATAAGAAAAGAAATGATTTCATCTTTTCTAAAGTGAACTCTCCTTATTTGTAAGTGATATTCCGCTATCAACTGTATATGGTATGGCGTGTAAAGTGTTGCATTATTATACTTTTTTGTTATTCCTATTCAAAATTTTCTTTTCTTATTCTAAATGATATCATTCCTATTCGACTCCTATCGACAAAATGTGATTCCTTTTCGATAAGTTGTTATTCTTATGCGAAAAAAAATTATTCTATTCGATAATTCATCATTCCTATTCGATAAGTTGTTATTTCTATTCAATAATTAAATGATTTATATTCGATAAACATGTTATTCCTATTGAAAAACATACCATTCCTATTCGAAAACATACAATTCCTATTCGATAATCTTGTCGTATTCGATAAATTGATTATTCTTATGCGATTTTTTTCCTTACTGTTATTCAATATTTGCATTCTGGGTAATATGAATTGTTTCATTGTAACAACTCTGCTCATTGAATAATGAAAACGAAAGAAGTTTTGCTTCATATGTTACGACTGTCAAAAGATTCTCGCCAAGACTTACTTTCACTTTTTAAATCAATATGAATTGAGTTTACAACCAGTTCTATTTTTTATCAATTTTTTTCCCAGAATGCAATTATTGAAAAAGAATAAGAAAACATCGCATAGGAAAGATAAAGTTATCGAATAAGAATAAGAAGATTATTAAATAAGAATCGTATCTTTTCGAATAGAAATGGATATCTTTTCGAATAGGAACAACAACGTTATAACATATATATCACATAATTTTAGAATAAGAATGGCAAAAGCGAATAGGAATGACAAAATTATCGAATAGGAAACACGTGTTTTCGAATAGGAATGATATGCTTTAGA